CCTCACCTGACGATCGGCATCTGAGGTGCGTCATCTTCGATCTGACGCGGGAAAGGATCTGAGGCACAACATATATACTGTATATTATAAATTAAAATAAATTCTAGATTTATTTATTACAAGTTAGATTTATTTAAATTTTTGGTTTATAATTTTGGTTAAATAAATTAAAAAATATATATAGTATATATAGTGAAATATATATATTTTTATAAAATATTTATTATAAAATTTAAAGTTTTTTGGAAATTTATTAGTTTACTTGTAGTGTATATGCACGGGTATAATTTATTGAATTACTCGTGTAACATGCTAATCAAATACTTATAATTAGAGCAAGGGGGTTTGGGATTGGGGCGAAATATTATATCAAAATTTTTCAAGAGAATTTTTTTGTTAGAAGCCAAAAGGTAGTTTAATAATCAAATTTTGAGATATCAATTGGTTTTTATATTTCTAGTGTATATACACCCCTTGTACAAATAGAAATTGCCTAAAATATTTTTAATTTTATATAATTTTAAATTTTTTATCTTTACAATAATACAAATTTTAATATTTTATAAATAAATTACTAAAAATAATATAGTAATAAAGTTATTTTTATATAAATTAAAATAATCTTTATATATATAATACAAATTTAATTTATTATTAATAAATTTTTATTTTATAATTAAAAATATTTTATAAAATAACTAATATATAAATACTATATAAAATTAGATTAAACTAAAACATTTAGACTAAAAAAATTATAACCATATCAAACTTTTTTTTTACAAAGCCAAATATCTGCTATATCTCAAAAACGTACTAAGAAAATGGGATCGGGTATTCCCTCACGAGAACTGAAATCGGAACCTTATATCAAATCTACATTATGCTATATAAAACTCCTCCTTTATCTTATGACCGCACCCTAACCCTAAAAATTCTGGTTAAATCTAAATTATTTCTTAAAATATAATTAATTTTTAAAATTATATCTGATATACAAGAGTATATAAGACTACCGGTAATCCTGTCCATTAATAATTAGATTAAAAAAATAGTATATATATTTTTTTTTAACAAATGCAAATACAAATTATAGAGAAATTTATTAATTAATAATATTGTATATTTCGAAGATAGAACGTCTTTAGCGAAGGTTGTAATAATTAACATAATTTCTACTCGAATATATTGCAATTAATATAGACAATTAATAAAATAGTATATAAGTAAATCGATTGGTTAATTAGATTGGCCGTAATCAAGTGATGTCAAAATGTTCAATATAGAAAGGTAGATCAGCTGATTCACTAACATGACGCGAGAGCAAACGCGAGTTTAGTGTTTTGATACCTTTTTTGATCATCGTGACTTTAAATAACGCGCAAGCCTTTTGTAATCAAAATAATATCAAAAACATCAGTTACATTGACGCGACAACTTAAACTGTTATATAAAGACTGCCTTCAAACCTTTACTCACTTTTAATTACTACTCGCCCTATCTTTCGAATTAAAAACATCGTTATTTCGTACTAAAAGGATCAAATATACATACACACAACTGTTTTTAACTTATAATAAACATAAATAATAAAAATGGCCAAAGAAAAGTCCGCAAAGAAATCGGCTGGTGGTAAATAACAATAATAGATATTATGGTCTTGATATTTTCGTTTTATTTCTCTTCGCTCATATATCTATAAAAATAATATTAGCCAAGAAACTTTCCCCTTATAATAAGTTTATGAAAACTGAACTTGCCAAAGTCAAGACTGATAATCCTACTCTAAATCACAAAGAGGCTTTTAAAATGGCCGCTCAACGTTGGAAAGATTCGTAAGTTTTTTATTTTTCAAATATATAAGGTTTCGTTTTTATGTTTATGTACTAATTTATTGTTCGATCTTTTTTTTTTTTATTTTATTTTATTTTATTTTATTAATTAATAGTCCCGAAAATCCTAAAAATAATCAATCAAAATAGGCTTTGAAAGTTTTCTACGCCCACAACTATTTTTATGATGCATTTTCATAATCGTATTTTTTTTTTAACATAAAAAGAAAGGAAAAATAGACTGGTTACATTTGGTGGGTGTAAAAAGACGAACATTTAATCATGAAACATTTATTTTTTTCTTTTTCTTCTTTTCAATACATATGTTTATATGTCGTATATACACGTACATTTCTCTTTTTTTCTTGACAAGTGTTTCATTACAACATATAATTTCTTATAATTGTACATGTTTATATCATAGTTAGAAGTAAATCAAAACATATACAATAAAAACTATACAAATTTAAAAAAATTATATATACATTGAGATAATATTATGCATGGAATTTTTTTTTGAATTTCTTCGCTGCGAGTTATCATGATGATCATAAGGTTACACATATGTCATGATTTTTTTTTTGGATAAGATCTAAACATGATAACACGTAGTAACTTACTGTTATTTAACGCAAGAAATGTCAAACCCGCAGCAATTCCAATGTCGTATGTACGAAGCAAAGTATCCCGAGGTTGACGACCTTGTGATGGTCAATGTTCGCCAGATCGCTGAAATGGGTGCCTATGTTAAATTGGTACAGCTAAAAATTTTATTTTATCGCTTATAAAGGGCTTTCCTAAAAGCTTTGAAATTTCACCATGTTTTAGTTGGAATACGATAACATTGAGGGTATGATCCTTTTGTCTGAGCTCTCAAGAAGACGCATTCGTAGTATACAGAAGCTAATTAGAGTTGGAAGAAACGAGGTGGTAGTCGTATTAAGGGTTGACAAGGAGAAAGGTATATTACTATATTTTTTTCGTGATTTTTGTTCTTTTTTTGCGCAAAATTTTAATGGCCTTTTGCATTTATGCGATCATTTTTAAGGTTACATTGACTTGTCAAAACGTCGAGTTTCAGCTGAAGATGTCGCGAAAGCCGAAGAGAAATTTAATAAATCTAAAGCAGTTTGTTTATTTTTATTTTTTTTATGATGTATCGATTTTTTTTTTATAAATTGTTTAATTTATAATTTTTTTTTTTAGGTTCATAGCATAATGCGTCATGTTGCCGAAAAGCAAGATCTTGTCCTTGAGGATCTGTACAAGCAAATCGGATGGCCGTTATATAAAAAATATGGTCATGCATATGAAGCATTTAAAGTAGCGATAACGTAAGTTTAAGATCTTAGATCTTATTTTTTATTTATCAAAATATTTTAAATATTTTCTATTATTTATTTCTTTTATTTATTTTTTTCCTGATATAGTGAACCAGAAAAGATTTTTGAAGGCATCGAGTTATCTAAAGAAATACATGATGAATTGCTAAATAATATTAAACGAAGATTAACGCCACAACCGAATAAAATTCGTGCTGGTATGCTAAAAATTTTTTATAATACTTCTTTGTTACTTCTCGGCTTAATTATTGTTGTTCCATATAGATATCGAGGTGACTTGTTTTGGTTATGATGGTATCGATGCTATTAGAACGGCCCTTAGAGCTGGTGAAGCATGTGAAACAAGCGATATGTCAATTAAGGTACTTTATTAATATTTTATATAAACAATTCGGTGTCATTCTAAGACTTATAGTTTGTTAATTTTGTATATTAGGTTAGACTAGTCGCCCCACCATTATACGTTATCATCACCAATGCGTTGGATAAAAATTTAGGAATTGAGATGCTGGAGAAAGCCATTTCCACAATACAAGAGAATATCGAGAAGGCCGGAGGAAGTTTGTCTGTTAAAATGAGGGTTAGTATAAATTTATTTCCGTTATTTTATTATTTATTTAGTTACAAAATTTTTACTTTTATAATTAGCCGAAAGCTGTGAGTGAAGCTGATGACCGAGAACTCGCCGCACTTATGGCTAATGCTGAAAAAGATAATGCTGAAGTTTCAGGTGATGAAGACAGTGATGCTGAAGCTGCTGAAACGGATTAATTAATTAATTCCATTTATATTATTACGTGAAATAATATATCATATTTATCAATGTTATAGAGTGTTGGATTTTTGTAAAAATACTCTGTAAAAATACTAAATTTTAAAAATTTGGAGGTTTTTTTTATATTTATACACAATGAAAAGAAAATAATTACGTATGTTCGTGTAATTTTATATACAGTACAATGCATTAATCTCAAATTAACATCTAATTTAGAATTTAATCGAAGATTATATGGTACTATATCGATACGAATTAAAAATTTTAGAGTTCAAAGGTTGCCTTTTCAATATTGAATTAATTAAAAACAAATAACTATATAAAAAATAAACATTTAATCCTTAAAATAAAGTAGTGAATATTGCATATTGTGTAAATGCTATAATATAAGATAGTAAAGAAAGAGAAGTAATAGATGTGATTAAATCGTCCTTATACAGTATTTCATCTTTACTTATAAAGATCTAAATATTTACATGTAATAATTTAAAAAACTTAGTTAAACAGTTAAAGAGTCAAGATAGTAAAAATTGGCGCAGTTTTATTAATTGCCTTATATAAAAGTAAAATGCCAATTATAAGAAAAAACTTTATAAAAATTAAAATCTTGTAATATACTAAACTGATCTTAATAATTTAGCTATTTTAGAATTAAAAAAATTTAGCTTTACAAAGTTTAATTAGCAATTATAATACTTTTATTTATTTTTATTTTTTTTATAATTTAGCAGTCTTGTCTTATTAGGCTTTGTAATAATTATCTAAACTATTAAAATTTTCTACAGAGTTATACTCTATAGTACCTAAATTACAAG